CACATCCCCACCAGTATTTGTTCCTTTTGTCTCACTGATGATAGCTGTTCGAACTGAAGTGAGACGAGGTTTCACTCTGGTCTTGATTTACATTTCTCTCATGACTACTGATGTTGAACAATCTTTCATGTACTTGTTGGCTATTTATATTTCTTCCTTTGAGAATATCTATTTAGATCATTTACCCATTGTTAAGTTGGATTATTTAACAGGTTTTTTCTTTTGCAAATATTTTGAGTTCCTCATATGCTCTGGATATTAATCATTTACAGTAGGAAAAACTTGCAAATTTGCTCCAAGTCTGCAGGTCGTCTCTGTGCTCTGTTGATCGTTCCCTTTGTCATGCTGGTGCTTCTCAGTGTGACACAATCCTACGTGTCAGTTTTTGCTTTCCTTACGTGTGCATGTGGGGTCTTAGCCGCAAAATGGCTGCCAATACCAAAGTGTTGAAGTGCTTTCCCTATGTTTTCTTCCAGTTATTTTAGCGTTGTAGGACTCAAAATGGACTTTGGTCCATTTGAAGTTGATTTTTGCTTAAGAAGTAGGGATCAAGTTACATGCTTCCACATGTGAACATTCAGTTTCCCAACACCATTTGCTTGAAGAGAGCATCTTTTCTTCAATGTATGATTTGGGCATCTTCATTGAAAATAAGTCAGACTGTAGCTGTGTGGGTTTATTCCTGGGTCTCTGTTCGATTCCATCGGTCTGTGTGTCCGTTTTTATGCCAGGACCATGCTGCTTTTGTTGCTGTGGTTCTGTAGTGCATCTTGCAATCATATGTTGCCATGCCTCCGGCTTTGTGGGTTTTTTGTTTTGTTTTGTTTTGTTTTTTGTTCAGGATGGCTTTGGCTACCTGAGGTCTTTGTGCTTCCATATAAATTTAGGATTAGTTTTCCAGTTCTGTGAAGAGTGTCATTGGTATTTCGATGGGGATTAATTTGAACTCATTATGTAGCCCAGGCTTGCCTTGAACTCATAGTCCCCTGCCTCCTCCTCCAGAGTGCTAAGATTATGGGTGTGTGTCACTACACCAGGCTTTCTTTCCTTTTTCATGCTTGTTATGCCTCTATGATCATATTTCCAGATCTAGCATATCAACGATCTCTATTATTTTAAAGAGAAGACCTTCACAGTCAAAGGCTTGTCCCTGAAGACTGCTCTGCTTTTGTTCTAACTGGACGCTGGGCATAGTTTCCCTAGAGCTTCTCTGGCTATAATTGGTGGTAATGGCAGTGGCAGTGGGCACAGGGGCATGGCAGTGCTTCTCCTCAGTCTTGGCTTGAGCACTGGGGCAGGTGGCAGGGGCAGGATGTGCATGCATTCACCCTTGGTTCTGGCTCTGGATATGGGCTGGCATATTGGCATGTGGGCTGGTGGTGGGAGTGGGGACATTCTTGTATGATCATGAAGAGTTTAGCATTGAGATGATCAGATTTTTAAGTTTATTAGTGGTTGCCTTGAAAGCATCTAGTCCAGGTGCTCTACTGTGCAGAAACTCTCTAATTTCTCTGTTATCTCTTCCCTAGTAATTGGATCAGTTTTCTTTGTCTGTGTACTGAAATATACATGGAAAATTATAAAAATATGAATTTTCAGTGGGAGAAGGAAAAGAAGAAAAGAGAATAAGTACAGCCCCCATTCCCTGAGTCAGCATTTTTCTCCTTCTTTCCTTCAGGTCTGCTTGCAGGGACACGCCAAAGTGTCCTTCCATGAACATGGCTGAGCCTCAGGACAACGAGCTGAGGATCGTTCTGGTCGGGAAAACTGGAAGCGGGAAGAGCGCTACAGGAAACACGATCCTTGGGAGACCAGTGTTTTGTTTTCGAATTTCTGCCCACGCTGTCACCAAGATCTGTGAAAAACAAACCCGAAAATGGAACGGGAAAGACCTTGTTGTTGTTGACACCCCAGGGCTCTTTGACACTGAGGAGAAGCTGGAAAGCACGTGTAGAGAAATCAGCCACTGTGTCATCGCCTCCTGCCCAGGACCACACGCCATCCTCATGGTTATACAGCTGGGCCGCTTCACGGAGGAAGAGCAGAAAACGATTGCTTTGATCAAGACTGTCTTTGGGATGGAAGCCATGCAGCACCTGATAGTCTTGTTCACTCGCAAAGATGAGCTGGATGGCAGCAGCCTGAGTGAGTTCCTGGGAGATGCACACGCAAAGCTAAAAAGCATCATCGAGGAGTGCGGGGACCGCTGCTTTGCCATTAACAACAAGGCAGACCCGGCTGAGAAGGAAGTTCAAGTGCAGGCACTGATGGAGCTGGTAGAGCGAATGGTGCAGAAGAACAGAGGGGCTTACTTTTCTCACGCCATCTACAAGGACATAGACGAGAGGCTGAAGTATCAGGCAAAAGTTTTGGTGGAATTTCACACTGAACAATTAAATAACGACATCAAAATAATACAAGAGAGCAATAAATCAGAGCAAGAAAAGCTGAGAGATATAAAAGACAGGCATATGAAACATGAGGAAAGAATAAAAAATGCAAGGGAAGAAGCTGAGGGTTCTGTATTGGAATATGGCTTAAGGAAGATTTTGAAAATTCTTTCAAACATATGGCAGATGTTTTGGAAGAAGTAATATACATGACATTCTTTCTTTATCATTTACTCTGCTTTGTTAATTCAGTATATTCTATTTTCCAAGCAGAGCCACAGCAACATCTTCCCTCCTCCTCTTATATTAAGGTCTAGCTGGCAAATGCAAATTGTGCAGTTTCAATGTGCACTTTTAATGTGCATTTGTAATGAAATGATTAAATGTAATTAATGTGCTCATAGTCTCACAGAATTTTTTTTTCCTTTTGGTGTAGTGAGAACAATTTATACTGCATTTTCAGCAAATTCCAAAGATACAGTACTGTATTTTTTTATTTTAAATAGAATAAAAAAACCAAAATAACAACAACAAAGACAAAAACAAAGCAACACAAAAACAATAAAAACAATACAGGATTTCAAAACCAAATGATAGGAATTACTAACAGTTGTTATATACATATTGTTATCTTCAGCCAAGTTGTTCAGATTACGAGATGTAAGAATGCATGATTGATCAGATAATTAAAGAGAATAAAAATAATCAAAAATTAGAAATGATACAGAGCTTTCTTTGCATCCCACAGAATCTGCTAAATTGTATCTGCATTTTCATTTGATTGTAAATATTGTTTAATTTCTTCTTTAATTTCATCAGTGATTTATTGGTTGTTCAGGAGGGTGTTATTTAATTTCCATGTGTTTATGGAGATTTTGCAATTCCTTTTGTCAATAATTTCCAGTTTCATCACACTATGGTCCACTAATACGCATGGGATAATTTCCATACCTTTGCATTTACTTAAGCATGTTCTATGGGCTAGTATATGGTCTGTTTTGAGAACATGCCATGTGTAGCTGAGAAGAATTTGTATTCTGATGTTGTTAGGTGGAGCACTCTGTAAAGGTCTACTAAGTCCATTTTTCACAAGTTTGATTTAGTTCTGTTACTTCTTTGCTGATTTTTTTTGTGTAGTTGATCTACCTCTTTGTGAGAATGAGGTGTTAAAGTCCCCTGTTATGATTGTGTTACTGCTTATTTGATTTTTCACATCTGTTAAAATTTGTCTTATATAGTTGGGTGCTCCTGTATTTGGTGCATAGATATTTATGATTGTTATCTCTTCCTCTTGTAGTTTTCCCCTAAGTATGTAGTGATCTTCTTTATGTCTTTTGATCATTCTTGGTTTGAAGTTGACATTGTCTGCAAACAGAATAGCTACCCCTGCTTTTTTCTACCCCTGCTTTCCTGTTGCATGGAAGATTGTTTTTCATTCTTTGATTGTCAGTCTATGAATTTCTTTTTGTGTTAAATGTGTTTCCTGTATACAGCATATTGTTGGATCTTGTTTCTTGATCCACTCTGGCAGTCTGTTTCTTTTGATTGGTGCATTGTTGCCATTTACATTGATGGTTATAACTGGTATGTGTTGGTTTATCTTGTTGATGGTATTTTCCTGCTGTTTTTCTCTTCTTTTCCCCTCTGTTTGATTGCTTGCCCTGCCTAATGGTTTCTTTCTCTTGTTGTTCTTGGAATTGTGGTCATTTTTATCTCTGTCTAGAATATCCTTCAGTACTCTTTGGAGCATTTGTTTGTGTTCATAAATCTCTCCAGTTGTTCTTTGTCATGGAAGTATCTTACTTCTCCATTAACGTTCAAAGATAGTTTTTCAGGGTACATCATTCTGGGTTGGAAGTTGTTTTCTTTCAGGACTTGAAATACTTCATTCCATGCTCTTTTTTTTTTTCTGCTTTGTCTGAATTTGTCTTTATGATCAATTAGTTTTCTCCATGTGGTTGGGAAAATGGTCCATAGCCATGTATCTACAACCCCCAGAATGCTCAATCCACCCATGGAGGGAAAACTGACCAGTTGTCTATGAATTCCTCAGGTGGGCTCCCACTGGGTCTTGCTAGGTGCATACAGTGCCCAGGAAGATGCAGAGAGCCAGGCACTTGATTGGTGGCCCCACCGGAAGTACTGGATGTCAAAGAAGGGTCCCCTCAAGGAAAAACATTCTGTGGGTGGTGCACATAATGGTAACACTGCTGGAGAGACAGTAACAACAGTCACTGGATACCTTTCTTTGTCCCTTCCTCTCTCTGGCACCTTACAGATGAGCTCAGTGATCCACTTGGCTTCTGTGGCAGGTCTGTCCTTTGCCTAAGGGCTGCAAAGGCATTACCAGCTCTGGAAACAGCAGAGAGTGAGGAGCTGTTGAGGCAGAGGCAAAAGTCCCTGCAGCCCCTTCCCTTGTGAAAAACCAAACCCAGAAAGTGACATTTATAAAGCCTCCAGTCTTGGATGGGTGCTGCATCCTGGATCTCTCTTATTTGTGGCTTCCAGCTTCTTGGTCTAAGCAGCTCCTCCATCTTCTGGCTCTCCAGCCTGCAGACAGGCAGTGTGAAATCTCCCCCGTGTAAGCCAATCTAGGAAGTCCCTTGCTATTTAATTTCTACTGACTCTTTTCCTCTAGAAAACCCTAATAGAGCTGTCTAGCTACTAATTTGCAGAGTTAAAACTAGAATCTGTAAGAACTTTAGAAAAATCAGAGATAAAAGAATACTGTTGCCCAGAGAGATAATGGGGCTGAGCTGTCTTTTGCAGGCTTCACAGCACAGCATTCCTGTGGCAAGGTCTGTTCCTGTGTTAGTCACCTTTCTGTCATTGTGAAAAAATAACTGACATGTATAAATCCAAAGGAGGAAAGATTTCTTTTGGTTGCAGTTGCAGAACTTCTGGTTCAGGGCCCACTGCCTCCATTGTTTCCAGCTTGAGGTGAGGCAGACATCATGATGGGAGAGCGTGCTGGAGCTGGAAGCAGAAAGCAAGAGAGCCTGTCCTGGCCAGTTTCCTCCTGCCCTGCTTCTGTTCCATGGAGCCCCTGTCCTGCTAGGTGGTGCTGCCCATGTACAGGGTGGGCCGGCCTCCCTCTCAATTTGCCAGCCCACATGTGAGTGGTCTCTGAAAACACCTTCATAGACATTCTGATAAGTGTGTGTTACTACTTTTCTAGGCCTTTCTCTGTCCAACCAAGCTGGCAGTGACTTTACCACAGCAGGCCCTATCTACCTCAAGATCTTTCCTAGATGTGCTGGCAGGGACTTGGTGTGGACTGGGCTCCCAGCTGACTATGCTGGATCCGTGTAACCAGGGGACTCCAGGAGGAGGGCTGAATTCCACTTAGGTACTTGGGGATCCAGAATAAAGCCTCAGCTTGGAGAATTCCTAGGAAGAGAGCAGGGACACTGAGGTATTCAGAGCCCACCAGTAGGCACCAGGACATGTTCTCATGGCTTGGGGTGTTGGGGATGAACCTCTACCAGCTTGTGGAAGCTTCAGTCCTTAATCAGCTGGCTCTAAGGCAGGGTGGCATGGCACAGGGGCAACAGTTCAAGGTGGCAGAAGACAGCAAAAGCAGTGAGAGCAAAAGTGGGCTCCAAACTCTTCTTGACTTGAGGGTTTGTGTTGAGAAGTCTGCAATGTTTCTGATAGGTTTTCCTTTATAAGTGATCTGTTTCTTTTCTCTGACAGCTTTGACTGTTGTTTTGTGCTGAATTTCTGGAAGCTTGATTATTATATGTCTTGGTATAATTTTACTTTGGTCCTGACTGTTTGGAGTTCTATATGTTTCATTTATTTGTATGTCAAATTCTTTATCCATGCTTGGGAAGTTTTCTGTCATTATTTCTGTGAAGAGTTTTTTTATGTCATTTGTGCTGTCTCCAGGTCTCTCCTTGACCCCACTCAATCTTACGTTATTCTTCTTTGCTTCATCTTGTAGCTGTTGGATTGATTTTTCATGGTCCCTTGCTATTTTAAAAATACCTTTCTTTTCATGATCACTAGCTGCACTTCTGTCTTCAAAGTCTGAAATCCTATCCTCTCCTTCATTCAACCTGTTGCATGTACTTTCAGTGGAGGTTTTAATCTTTTGGATTTCTGTTTGGATCTGTTTCATGGATTCCACTTCTTTCTTATTCTGGGCACTTTTTGTTTCCATCATTTTTCTAAGTTCATTTATTCTTTTATCTGTGTCTTCTCTAATATCTTTGATTTTAAGCATCATTTCTTTCTGTACCTGAGAGATTATTTTCTCCATAGAGTTTTCCACTTTTTTTTTTTTTTTTTTTTTTACTTCTGCTGCTATCATTTCAGAAAGTTCCAGTGTTTGACTTCCAATTTCATCTATCTCCTTGAGTTCTGGGTTTTCCCTGGGTGGGCTGATGGTCTGTGGTTGCTTGTGCATGTTGTCATTTTCTATTTTCTCTTTTGTCTTCTATGTTGATACTTTCCAGTTTCTTATGATATACAGCTTTATCGCTAGTATCAAGGTTTCCCTGGAGGATGTCTGTTTTTAGCAATATCTTCTAGATGTAGGTGGTTTCTTACAGCTATCTCAAAACTCTACCTTCCCAATTTGTAAAGGATGCAAGATTACTACTTGGCTCAGCTCCTAATCTTTTAGTACTGGGCTGTGGTGATGACTATGACCTCATACAATCACAGTATTATCATACAGGGGAGAAGAACTGTTTATAACATGTATGGCATCCTAGCTAAGTAGTAAATTTAGTAATAACAATAGTTTCAAGTACAGCTTAACTACTGATAAACTATGGTAACCATTAATTTGTTACCTCTGACACAGGAGCAAACTCTAATATTATATAACAAAACCAAACATCTACTTTGCACCTGTATGCATTGATCTTCCCCTTAGTTGGTGATTTTTCCCTTATGTGGGAGGAGGGGTGTTAAGATGGGCAAAGGGTAGGCTAAAGTGATGAGTGAGGTCAAATATATTAGAGTCAAGGCTGGAGATTAAAGGATGATCACCTGAGTTTTGGGAAACTGGAGGACACAGGAAGGAAAAAATGAAATAGAATATGAAAGAGTAGTCAGAAAGGCAGAGACAATGTTTACTTACTTGAAGGTCTAAATTCAAAAAGTAGTTAAGGAAAGAGAGAGAGAGGATCTATTCAAGAGAATGAAAAGAAAAGGTAAAAAACTTAAAGGTTGAATAAAAGAAGGAAGAAAGAGAATGAAAAAGGAAAAGAAGAGGAGAAAGAAAGAAAATGGAGAGAGAGAGAGGAGATAAAAAAGAAAAAAAGCCCAAATACAAAAATAACTGCAGAATACAAAACAAAATAAGATGATGTCCAACCAGAGAGGAAAGAGATAGCAGATCAGACAAACAAGAGAGAATGAAAGTGGTAAAATACCTCTGGT